CTAAAGATCTCCCCCCTATCAGCCATCATGAGGTATCTATACCAACCACCCCCAGCACATGACTCCAATATTCTGGGTCGACTTCCTGCCAGTCTTGTCGTCATCTACTCAGAGGAGTGATTAAAGACTAATTCAATCAGGAGACAACAAAGCTTTCTTTGTATCAGAACTGGAAGGTTCGTTCACAACATATAGAAACCACGATGTCTTGTGACCACCAATGAATGGAACTATTATATCCAAACAGGAAAAGGACAGTAATTTAATCAAGCCCTCAGGCCTGCAAGCACGGGATCTATGCATGACTGTCACATGTCTTGTGACCACCTGCTTCCTGCCCTGTCTGAAACCCTTACAAACTTCTCTTACAACAAAAGAAACAGGACCTTGCATGACGATTTTTAAAAGACAATCGTTTAAACTCATAAGTAGTGAAAATGTATCCACTGTATGTGTTATGCTGTATATATATATATGCTTGATGTGTTTCATGTAATCGGTGCAACTTTAATCAGTTTATTACCTTCTTTTTAGGAAATAAGGTTATTAAAAGGTGTGTAATATGTGAAGTTTAATCTTGAACGAATGGGCACTACAAATGCAGAATGTTGAAATGAGTGAAAAGCTGTTATTGAACGGTGTGTGTTGTACGACACTTTTATCAGAAGTTATTTAAAACTTCCAGAAGTACGCCCCACGGGGGCATGCGACTTGTACATGAAAAAAAGGAACCACACAGGGTGTTGCTAAGCCCAAATAACAAATTTGAAATCAGTTCTAAACAGGTGGACTTAGAATTTTCAGATCCGAGTCCTTTCAAACCTGAGCTAGAAATAAAATTAATGATTAATTCCCTTATCAAGAATTAATGAGTTAAATTCCTTACACGGGGCATAGAGGAGAAACAATATGTGGATATGTGGTACAGTATGTGGAAAATATGTGGTACAGTATGTGGAAAATAATGTGTTTTTTAACCTTAAACCGCATAAACACATTTCATTACACCAAATACACAAAATAATGTTCTTTTTAGCAGCATCACATGACCAAATAACAATGAATTAAAAATTTTTTTTTTTCCAGACATTAAAAATGAATAACATTTATTTGACTTTAAGTAGGATAACATTACATTCATTTCTTACCACTGAATTAACGATGGTGTGCTTCTCTATTTTGGTCAGTAAAAAAAAAAAAAACCTCTCGGTTAACGTTCTCTTCAATTAGACGTGTCAAATCTCTCTGAAACCACAATATTTACTCTCCTATATATTAATTATAAGTATTTATTCAATAAAAAGTTCAATAAACGAATGCTAGTCAGTCAGTAAAACGAAATGACCGTTAATTTTATTAATGAAAAAATCTAAAAATAACCTACAAGGAACGTTCCCTTTAGGTTATAAAAATAAAATTAAAAATAACCTACAGGGAACGTTCTGGGAAGGTTATCTTTAGGTTATAAAATGAAGCCTAAAAATAACCTGCAGGGAACGTTCTGGGAAGGTTCTCTTTAGGTTATAAAATGAAGCCTAAAAATAACCTGCAGGGAATGTTCCTAGGACGTTCTTATTTGGTTCCTAAAAACATAACCAAATGGGAACCTAATGGGAATGTTAGGGGAACGTTCTGTGTTTGTTGGGTAGTTACTTTTTAGCCGGCGATATTTAAAAATATTAATATCAAAGATCTATGTGAATAATAGCTACTTTGAACAAAAAACACTTTTATCTTATTAACAAAGTACGTGAATTATTGGTCATGATACAGGAATTTCTAACTTCAATACCTTGAAATATATCAGTATCAAAGTGGCTTCCATTATTATCACTAAAAGCTGATATCTCAGTTCAACGCGATCTCATAAAGCTCTGTTATATAACACAATGAACATATGCACAATGGATCTTTCACAATGTCCACACTTCGTGTGTTAAAATGAGACGATTCGTGAGCACGCAATTTCAGCACTGCGGTGAGTGGATTCTAACTTAATCACCTCTGATTGGCTATTGCGTTCCAGAAATCAACAGCTGAGTCTGTGATTGGCTACATTGCACAACCCTTTAAACACGTGTTATAATTAGAAACTCTGCGTAGCTTGCGCATGTTAATCATTTTAATGTTATTAGTTGTTGTTGTTTTTGGTTTTGTGCAACACATAAATAACAATTTGTTTTAGACATGTTATGTTTAGATAATTTCTATTTTGCGGGAGTCCTGCGAATCATTGTATTCTCCCACATCCCGCAAACACACGAATCTCTTCCCGCTCGCACCCGCACTCGCCCATCAAGAGTTGTCCCGCGCCTCACCCTGTTGCGTTGGGTCCCGCCGGTACTCCCGCGGGAGTGCAGTGCCGTTTCTCAATACCAAGTCACTGAGCGCCTGGTGATCGCGTGGACCTCACG